AGGTTATTTTCTCTTAAGTGGCACATCATCTTATCTTTGATCAATGTCTCTAAGATCTTTGAAACTGAGAGAGGTTGTTTATTGGCCGAAGGTCATCAAATGACGTAGATGTGCCGTGCCTAGGAATGGGCAAAATGTGTGATTCCTTCCACAGGGTAGGGCAAGTTTCACTTTCAAGAGCGAGATTAAATATCTTGCATAAGATGAATGGGAAAATCGTATTTGCGTCGGCTTTTAAAATGCTTACTGGGACACCATCAGGCCCTGAACTATAAGATTGACGAAGACACCGAATAGCGACAATCACATCCCACAGAGTGAAAGTTATAGATTCTAGAACTGCCCTGGTCAATGCCTGGATGGTCGGAAGCGGAGTGGTCGAGTCTTCAGTGAACGTTTTCGACAGGAAATCATTGAAGCTATCAGCGATTAACTGGGCATCAACTATGAAATGCAAGTATAGACTACAAGAGAGAGTTCGGAAGCAGCTACGGAGGCTGATGCCCATAGGACAATAGCAGGGCAGTGGGCGCACATCAGAGTCTGAAGCAAAGGCAACTCATTAAGCAACGATCTGGCGTTAAAACAAAAAGTTTGAAGGGAAAGACTGTTTCTTTCCGAGGGAGGTGGGCTACGTCGTCAAGTGATTGGCTGCCCACTGAACACACGGTCCGGATGCACCTATCCGGTTCTGCGAAAAATTGCACGACATTAAAAGACCCTGATGTGAGTAAAGAGGAGAAGGATTTATGGGAGGAAATGACGGACAAGAAAACTGATTACTGTCGTTAGCTGGCGATTCCATACTGGAAAACGAAAAGTAAAACTACAAAGTAAATCAGATACAGGAAAACTTAACTCTAAGTGGGACGTTGCGTTTCTTACAATAAAACAACGGCAAAGGAAATGCGGGAAAAACGGCAAAGGTAAATAGTTGTTCAGGCTCACAAAAGTGGAGCCCTTTCGAATGGCAGTATTTGCAGACTGCTGAATGCTCTGGGTAAAGTCCAGAAAGTTCCGAGCTGTAGTCGGTTAGTAGAGTTTTCCACCCAGGTAACTTCCCGTCTGGTGAAATACAACCGATAAATAAATTAAAACTGCTAATTTCAGTTAACTGAAATGATTAAGGCACATGATCGTCAACAGTCAAACAATGACACCATACAGCAGGCGAACACAATACACGCGGTAACGCAAGCCGAAACCGGCTGTGTATTTTTAGTATATTTGACGAACAGTGAAGAAAATTTCATGTCCAGGCGGAGGTAAAGAAAAATAGAGCATGTATATAGACCTAAAAGCGCATAATAAGTTGTCAAATACATAAACGAAGCTTGAATTGTTTTGACTCCGATATTAAAATTGCATGTAACGGGGTGGAACAGACTTGTTTCCACCGTCCACGTCTTGAAATCTTTCAGCAAATGTCTCTACAAGACTGGCGTGCTGTTGCCTTTCATGCAGCAAGAGCCATTGAGACTACTCAGGCATTCATGTTTGCCTTGTCTCACACTGACCGGACAACCTTTACGAAGTTATCGCTATGCCTTTTGGGTCTTTATACACCTACAGATTTCTGGCAGACACTGTTTATATATTTTGAATCAAAATTATCAAACCTTTTTTATAGGAATCATGCACGCTCTTATACGACTGAATAAGTATCTACCCTCTAACTTCGGCAACGCAAACCTTAAGGTCAATTGACTGATCAGATAAAGCGCTGTTTTCGAATGTAGTGTGTTGGTACTCTCTGTCTTCACCGCTTGCATTCTGGCAATTCCTCTCCCCGTATTCTGTCGATGAAAGAACCTCATCGTCTCAGTCATTCGACAAAATGGGATAATTCGCACTCTCCTGACTCTGGGCGCAATTCCAGAATAAAGGATGAGCCTTCATCTCCCACACGTCCTAGGCGTCAACGCCTTAGATCCCCCATAATTATCTCCGACAATAATACCAGCCTTCCGGTCAAACGTTCACGTCTCTCTTCACCCATTATTATAAAAGATGAAAATCCTGCCGACTTCCGCCGTGGTGTTACCGAAAGCAGAATCAAAGCGGAAGAAGGGTCACCCCATTTGCGACGCCGTTCCCCTGCTTTTGACGATGCTGAACACATTCGATGGGGATCAAAATCAGAAAAAGCTAGTAATCGCCCTAGGTCTGACAAAGCGCCCGTGCAAGAACCGAACTTCCAGTTGTCAGGTAAACTTTACTCGTTATTCTTTCATTTACTGCATTAAGTCAGTACTCATTACAAATGGCCTCTTGGTGAAGCGTTATCTCTAGCTATTGTTTCCTTAAACTTCCTACTAAACTCGTGTTTCATACTTTTAAAGGCAAACTTGCTGAAGATACTAACATGTTCAAGGGAGTTCTGATCAAGTACAACGAGCCTGAAGACGCCAGAAAACCCACTGTATTTTGGCGCATGTACCCCTTCAAGGGGAATCAGTCCCTTCCTGTTCTTCATATTCACCGACAAAGTGGATATCTCATTGGACGTGATCGGAATATTGCAGATATACCCATGGATCATCCCAGCATTTCGAAACAACACGCGGTTCTGCAGTTTCGTTACGTAAGTCCCCCATTTATGCGACTTTTTCGTCTAGACAAAGGGACAAACTCGATTATACGTAATAGATCTTGAATCGGCCAACGGAACCTTTCTCAATAACAAGAAGATTGAGCCTCGTCGCTACTATGAGGTTCGGGAAACTGATGTCATCAAGTTTGGTTTCTCTTCTAGAGACTACGTTGTAATGACGGACAGTACTGACACTGCTGAATAGCCACTTTCTTCGCTGTATGCAGATAGATATAAGTATGTACAGTTGTAAATTATTTTTACATTGTTCCTCTTGCATCTCTGTCTTTCTGCAGTGACCTTCATTGCGGTGGTCTGTTCAGACAATGGGACTACCCACAGATTGGTATTTTTCGCGTAAATCCTCGTACTCGGGTGGATATTTGCGTCTTGGTTTTCTGTTCGGCATATGACCCCAGGACTGTTGTGTTACTATGCACACATGCTTTTATCGGAAAAGTCGCCAATCGACGTGAGCCTAGTTTAGTGGTCGACACGTCAATAATGACTTATCGCGAACGGTGGCCATTGAAAAGGTTGTAGACGGGCTCATATGGACGGCTTAGGAATATGCTTTGTTGAAAGTGATCTCCAATCCTGCGAGAGACTTATTTTGTCTATTAGGTCGCGTTGCCAACTCTCTATGGCAGTCCACAAAGCAATGGGCATTCATGTAAATTTCTGGAAAATCGTGGTCACCTGTGAGAGGGGAATTTACGGAGCTGTTGGTCCCGAAAGAACGTTGGTGAGCGTTTGCCTCATTTAGATACCATAGCGTTTTAGCACGATGAGTCCAAATATCTGTAGCAAGTTCGTACGGGCGTACCACCTCCAGTCTAAGATTTCTTAGCTCAGCAAAGATCATCTCTCCCAGACCGGTTCGAGACGCCTTGCCCATACTTGGCATCTCTGCGTCTGTTAGCGTGCCCGTGCTTTCGGTTAAAACGTCTTCGGATGACCGCAAAGATAGCTGGTGAGTCGGCTGATTATTCTCTGGAGTTCGTATACCTGAAACCGCTAGAGAACGCTGGGGGTCCCACTGAAGAGCCGAACCCCTCGCAGCTGCGTCACGCAGCGGCAGATGGTGGATGGTTGTTTCAGAACCCTGACATATAAATTTCAGACGCTGGAACAGTCACTTAGCCAGGCCAAACGTTGGGGGTGCCTCTTAGAGAAACGATCGGCCCTAGGGGGGTTCCTGGTTTGTGCACCTTGGGTAGACCATAGAATCTCGCAATCGCTGAATCCTTTGGTTTCATCCTCTGCCTGCCAAGCTGTGTTATTGCTTTTAACCTCCGAAGATTTGCCAGGTCCTTGTTGATTTTGCTTATTAGCATCTTCGTCATATCACCTTCGCAAGGAATGTAAACATTTCTATCGCCCAAAAGGCCTTAGAATTTGTTGACGTAGACCTCCTTGTTCAGTACAACCGTTGGTCGTCCTTCATCAACCGGCAGTATGACTATGTTTTTGTGGACATTTAACGTCCAAAGTGCTTCGTCTTCTGTTGTTGAGATAATATTGCGTTTCTTTGGGACATGAGTCTGGAGGATGTTCGCTGTCGTAGCAGATTCCTGTTTTCCTCACGAATGACAGATTCCACAGCTGCGATGAAGTCAGTTTGTTGGGCATCCGTGGGATTAAAGCAGGCATCATGGCTCAGGACTTACCAGCTCTGCTGTCAGGTGTTTAGAAGATAGGTTGTGCGCAACATTATCACAGCAGAGGCCTGCATTCTTTTCACTTACTGTGGCCAACTTCTGCTTCAGTTTGGCTTCACGTGCATCGCGAATGCGCCTGGTACTGAGAGAAATGCTACGGTGAAGATCATTTGTCAGCGGATCTCCAAGGATCATTTAACATTTCGTTCCTTCATCCTCAATTACTACATTGTACTGGCATAGTCGGAGGTCTTAATCCTGGATTAGAACTCGAATCACTCAGCGTCCGTGTTGTTCGACTGTTCGTCTACCTACCTTGGTGTAGACTGGCGATTTATGCGAGATGCATATGGACAGTGTTTGAGTCTAAGCACCTGTGTAGGGACCTCACTTGAGCGTGCGTTGAAGCTTTTCGACAGGAGAAGGATTCCCACGGACGCGCACCAATAAAAGCAAGCCAGCTCCTTCTTGTGTATCTCCTCACTTCTGCAGTAACGGTAGGCTCAGTGGAAACGGGTTTGAACATAGCTTCTTTTATGGGCTGCTGAGTGGTTATAGTTAGGGATGATCTCGACATCAGAACGCTTGTTGCGAGACCGCCGCCACTGAGTCTTTGTATACTCACGTCTGGGGACGCGAGGGTGTCTCCTCCTGCTTCTGCAGGTGTAAGTTGTAGACCTGGGAAGACACCATTCAGGCTCTGGTGAAGTCGCCCAACTTTGCCGGTCTTTACGAGGACAAATGCGTCATCTATGAATCTGGGCCACATTTTCGGCCCAAAATTTTGCGCTACATCCTCTTTTAGCAGTTGTAAGACTAGTTTTACAAACAGCCCCGATCTACCTCCATGTTTCTTTTTCCTTAAGCTCAAGGAACTAGATTTTTCCGATCAGACAATCAAACTAACAAACTGGCGAACACTTCTGTACATTAAGAGCTTGTCCGAACTCGTTGAAAGGCACCTGACGAAGCTCAAACTTCAAGGGGCGCACAAACTGACATTTACACTACGAAACCGGCTTGTACACCCTAGGGATAGGGTTGGCTGTTTGGGTAAAATAGAAGTCGCCTTCAAAATTCCATGTGGCAGTTTCTGTGCAGTGAATTGTGGTTAAACAGGAAATTCGGTCACTACATGCCTACACGGACACAAGTTAGCAGTAAAAGGGCGAGACCACTTGTCCAGGTTGTTACGCATACAGTGGAAACTTGGCACAAATTTGCCTGAGACAAAACTTGCACTTTTGGTTCCTGCTCATTTGAAAAAACCGTGAATTCTTGGAGACCATGCACTCCGATGTTTCGTTCATTAATAGATACATCAAATTAAACGCCGCATACAACAATCTCAAATACAAATGGGAAAGGCGACAGCCACCAGTCCGCCCCTCCACGCAAACCCAACTGGGCACAATAGCATTGCCGACAAAGACGAGGGAGACTGCAGTGGCGATTTCTGACCCTTTAGTCGTCGCCAGCCAGCCATACATAACCTCGAGGTATGCAACTAGAGGCTCGAACTCGCAACCTGTCGGTTAGAAGTCCAGCGCCCTGATCATTAAGCCAGAGGCCCGTTGTCCTCTCTGCTCCGATCCGGTATGCTATGATAGAGGGTACCGACAGATCAAGTTACGGAACCAGCTTGTCCCGTTGTGTCCTGGGGATTAGAGTGACCAGTTCTGCCATGTCAGTCGTCATTAATTGACCATACTCAACCCCCGATTTTCAACACTTGAGATTCGAGTCCACCACCACCATTGAGCTACGGGCTCATCGCTCTCTTAGTTGACGTCGGGAATGTTGATGGTTGCAGTATGTGCTCTCACCGATCGTGTTACTGGACATACTCGTCCCTTTGTTTTTTGGGTTGATCTACAGTCCCGCAGAATGACGCATGGCGACTTCTAGTAAATGCAAATAAGGGACTACCGGCGAAGAAAACGGAGACTGGTATGACCATTCCTGGCTTGTTCGCAGCCGCCCACCAGCCTTATCTTGACCCAGCTTGCAGGCCCAGCATGTCCCATAGGCTGATTGGTGACGGCCCCTCTACCCTATTTGATATTGCCAATCATGACTGATAGGAAAACGAGCCCGTAGCCTAATGGTTAGAGCGTTGGATTTACTCAATCTCAGCAAGCAGATAACGCGGTGTCAAACCTCATGTCCCACGAAGCTATGGTTAGGCAAGGCTGCTTGTATCAACCACTAGTCAGACGAAAGGGATCGTGAGAGGTGGGTTATCGCACAAGAACTTTTAAGTACACAGGACAGGCCTCTCTTTGGGAGTATGGGTGCAGCATCTAAGCAGTGAATGCGCTCAGAACGCTACAGTCATCAGGCGAAATCCCGCTTTGTAAGGAGAAGACAGGCCACCGGAATGAGGGGTTTATTGTATACGGAACCTCGAATTCTCCTACTAAGCGGCAGTGGCCACTGACGAATGCAGAGCTAGTGTGAAATATGTCCAGTCATGCCTGAGAGTCCTTGAGACGGTAGTGGCAGCTTCTTTTGCAAGATTGTGTGACAATCTCAAGTGGTGTCTAATTGGTGTGTTGATTCATCGAGAGTTGGTGTTTAAGTGGCTTGTGTTGCGTTCGCAGGGGGAGTTCTGTGTTCAAGTGGCGCATGTGCAGCTCCGACTCTGTAGACTCATGCAAGTCCCAGTTAAAGTCAGATGAGTGGCTGCAGGTCAGTGGGTTTGGAACCGCTCACTGCGAAGATGGGTGACCTTGACGCAACGGGACCTTGGACAAGGACGCCAGATCTGACCATGATGGCTGTCGCCAACATGGGCACCGTGTTGCGATAGACATCGGAGGTGAGGCGAGGTGCTGGCAGTTCCATGTGTGAATCATCGCGTCGGGGCATTGCGAAGCGGTGAAATTCTGCGTGACGGTCATGAATTAGCGGCAGTTCCCTGCCAACACATGGCCCCGGGGGCTAGGTGGGGCCAGGCCCCGTCCAAAATTCCATCCTTTCTAATCACGTCAGTCTGCATTATATTAGACAGATTTTGCTCTATTGTCGTGAAATATAAGCTTTTTAGCTTGTATAATGCGTTTTCAGTCAAATAAAATCGAGAAAAATTAATTTTTCCCAAAGGCAAATATTGGCTTTGTTTAAGTCGGTCATGTACACGCCCACGTGGACGGCACTTTTACGCAGGATGTCTAACAAGTAATTGCCACATGTCGTCTCCTGAGGCTTGTTGTGTGTTCTATGCCCGTCGTTGAGGTTCTTAGCCCCCAGTGCATATGTGCATCTTTCCTCTGTCCGAGATATGTCTGTCCGTAGCCAATCAGGGGAGAAGCAGCGTTAAATTGCTTCGAGCTCTCGCAGGGCTAGTGCGGAGCCTCGTATTGTCCCAACAGTGAATCGACAGGGTGCGTGAGGCGAATATAAGGGCAGTGTGACAGCGGCGGCGATCAAGGGAGTGGACTGCCACGGTGGCAGCTGCTTTAATACGTTTTTTAAGCAATTTTAAGTGTCGTCCAATTGGTGTCTGTTGCACTACCCGGGACGAGGTATGTCTATCGGACTG